AATGCTCAAATTGGGCTGCCAAGATAACTCAGTGGATGAAGACACTTGCTGCAGAGCCCAGGATGACCCCTAGATCGCACCACCCATGGTAGGAGAGAACAAACTTTTCAAGTTGTCTTCTGCGGGCTCTGGTACATACTCATGTACGCACAGTCTGTGAAGCACAAGAGCAAAGCACACAGACACAGAATCAATGTAATTTTTCCAAATATTTCTTATTTCTTTTCCTTTTTTATTTTTTCTTGTTTTTTCAAGAGAAGATTTCTCTGTGTAGCCTTGACTGACCTGGAACTCGATCTGTAGACCAGACTGGCCTCAAACTCACAGAGATCTGCCTCCTGAGTGCTGGGATTAAAGGCGTACGCCACTACCACCAGGCCGTTTTTCAAGTGTTTCTAAAACTAAAATACCTTTATTAATTATAGAAGGTTTGTACAACGTAGCGCACGCTCACAAATGCTTCAGATAAGCCTGGGTGTGATCGCTCACACCTATAACCCTAGGACTCAGAAGACTGAGGCAGGATTGTTCCAGGCTACCCTGAACTACAAAGTGAGGCCCTGTATCTAAACAAACAAAAACTAAATAAAAAACAAAACCACTGAGCCAGGTAGTGATGTGGCACACCTGTACTCCCAGCATTCAGGAGGCAGAGTCAGATGGATCTGAGTTTGAGGTCAGCCTGATCTACAGAGTGAGTTCCAGGACAGCCAGGGATTCACAGAGAAACCCCATCTCGAGCAACAGAAACAAAGGTGGAATCATGGACTAGCACACTCTAGCCTGTCTGCTTTGTGGTTGGTTTTGTTTTGAAATGATCTCAGGTAGTCCAGACTAGGCTGCAGTGTCTACAAAGCAGGGAATGATCTTGAACTCACCAACTTCCTGTCTCCACATTCCTAGTGATGGCACTGCAGACATCCATTCTTACCAATGACTTTCAAACGGGACTTATGGACTGCCTTGGGGGGTTTGAAGCAAGACTGTCTAGAGACACTTTGGGTTGTCATAATCAGGGCATGTCGACTGGGTGCCGGCCAAGGTACCACAGCATCGTTTGCTGCACAGGAAAGTCCCTGATACAAAGAATGATTGGACCCAAATATCCATAACACTGGGAATGAGAATCCCCATGAGATCACCTCCCCCAACACCACCCGGCTCAGCTATGGTGTCCTTTGAAGCCCGATTTTAAAATATGCGTGTGTAGGTTTCTGGGTGTGCTTGTGGCTCAACATGTGTGTGGAGGTCACAGAACAATTCTGGGGGGAGTCAGTCTCACTCCTTTCACTGTGTAGGTCCTGGGGGGACTGAATTCAGGTTGGTAGGCTTGGTGGCAACACCTTTACCCGTTAAGCTAACTCACTGGCCCTGAAGCAGGGGTTTCATGCTTCCTGCAGACTTCTGCTCCAACAGCAAAGTTGGCCTAAACTAGACTTCAAAGTTTAAAACTTGAAGCTTTCTTGCAGCAAGAAGTTTATGGACCTCTGCTTTTATGACCAAGATGGGGGCAGGGAAGACAGTCAGAGGAATTGGAATGGGGACAAGGAAGAGAGGAAACCAACAAAGAAAGGTCAACCCTACCCATTCCTTAATCTCCTCCGCTGATGAAGTCAAGTCCTCAGCCAGCCACATGTGTTTCTTTGGCAAGAGAGGGAAGGAAATGACTGTAGAGTTCTTGTGAACAGAGCCACGCCGAGGCACACAGACATAAACAGATGACCACATGAGTCCAAACACACGGCCCTCGCCACTCTGAAGACACACGCACAGGCACTCGTACATATACAAGCTCAGCAGCAGCAGGCTCAGCAGGTCAAGGCTGAATGAGAGACAAGAGGAAGACCCGTGGCATCCTTCCAGGGACCCTTCTCCAGGCCCCACCACTTAAAGGAATGTCTAAGATGGTGCTGACAGTATGGTTCATCCTCCTTGGTAGAGTGCTTTCCCAGTGCATACCGGGCACTGGATCCCATCCTTAACAACACATAAGCTGGTGTTGCGGTGCATGCCACCTTTAGTACTCTGGAGGTAGAGACAGGAAGATCAGAGTTCAAGGTCAAGCTCAGCTACATAGCGAGTTTGAGACCAGGCTACACGAGACCCTGAGAAAGAAAGATGAGAAAGGGGAGGGGAGGAGTGCAGAGTAGAGAGGAGAAGAAGGGAGAAGAGAAGACAAAGATAGCCAACTTCAAGGAGCCCAGCCAGGACCATGAATGTATTTGTCATCTGTCTTAGTCACAATCACATTCTTTGTGCTGACAGCCAGGGATCATCACACTTAGCCCCACTGCTAATTCTTTGTCATGGGGTGTCACGGTTTGCCATGGACTGCCCCTAAGCCAACCACGTTCCTGTGTTAAAGGACTGGCTGTCAGCCTGGCAGTGGTGGCGCACGCCTTTAATCCCAGCACTCGGGAGGCAGAGGCAGGAGGATCTCTGTGAGTTCGAGACCAGCCTGGTCTACAAGAGCTAGTTCCAGGACAGCCTCCAAAGCCACAGGGAAATCCTGCCTCGGGAAAAAAAAAAAAGGACTGGCTGTTAGCCAGTCGGCTCTGGGAATACTGTTAGAAGGTGGATGCCTTGATGGAGGGAGATGCTCCTGAGTTTTCCATGCCCAGGAAAGATGGATCTTGTCCCCTGCCTTCTGGTTGCCGCTTCCTAGCTACTGTGAGGGATTCTGCTCCACCATGTCTTCTCGCCCTCCCTGCTGACCCAAAGTAACACACAGGGAAGAATTGAACCCAGAAGTCAAGACAAAATGTTAGATACTTCTCAGCAAGATACAGAGGCGCAGGCATAGATTTCAGTACCCAGGATCACTGTGAGTTCAAGGCCATTTTGGTTTGCATATGGAGTTCCAGGATACTCAGGGTTACAAGGTTACAAAGTGAGAACCTGTCTTGGAAAACAATAGCCAGGTGTGGTGGAATGCACCTTTAACCCCAGCACTCAGGAGGAAGGGGCAGACAGAACTTTGTGAGGAACACCTGAGAGTGGCCTCGAAAGTCTATGATCTAAACACCAGAAAACAGAAGCAGGAGGATCAGGAGTTCAAGGTCCTGCCTTGGCACATACACTGTAGACCAGGCTAGCCTCCAGCTCACAGAGATTCATCTGTCTCTGCTTCTGAAGTGCTGGGATTAAAGGCGTGTGCCACCACCACCTGGCCTATTTTTGTTGTTTTAAGATAGGGTATTACAGCCAGGTTTTGGTGGTGCACGCCTTTAATCCCAGCACTCGGGAGGGAGGCAGAGGCCAGCCTGGTCTACAGAGCGAGTTCCAGGACAGCCTCCAAAGCAATACAGAGAAACCCTGTCTCCAAAAACCAAAAACAAACAAACAAACAAAAAGGACAGGGTATTACAATGTAGCCCAGGTTGGCCTCAAAGATCACTACAATCATCCTGCCTCAGCCTCCCAAGTTCTGTGATTACAAGGGTGTGCTACCCCTTAATTTTGCTATCACTGTTTTCTTACCCTTGTGCGTGTGCGTGGGAGCACGCATCAAAGTGGGAATGGCAAGGGCAACCTAGGGCCCATCCTCACTCCTCCACCTGGTTTGAGGCAGAGCCTCTTGTTAGCCACTTCGTACGCCAGGCTAGCTGACCCAAGGCTTTTAGCGAACTCCCCTGCCTCTGCCTCCTGTCACACCACGGGAGCCTTGGGTACAGACAGTATGAAGCCCAGCTGCACGTGGTTTCTAAGAACCTGAATGCAGGTCCTCATGCTTGCTTGGCAAGTGCTTTACCATTAGGCTCCCTGGACTCTTAATTTGCTTAAAATATTCTACCACAACAGTGAAAATATGATGACCACCTAGGGACCATCCCACGTGTCACAACATATCTTAGCTGCATTTTTGAGCTTCTACAAACAACTCAGACCCCAACTCCCGACGGCTAAAAGGATCTGAATGAGTCTCCGCTGTAGAAGGTGAAGGTGTTGGGCTCGCAGAAACAGGCCTCAAACGAAATGTTTGCTGATTGGATGAGTGAGCCACTTCCATTCAGTGGATGTCAGGATGGCTCAGCCAGACCATCCTCTTCAGCATTCACAAACATCAAGAGTTAAAAACACACAAGGGAGCCTGGCGTGGTGGCGCACGCCTTTAATCCCAGCACTCGGGACGCAGAGGCAGGCAGATCTCTGTGAGTTTGAGGCCAGCCTGGTCTACAGAGCCGAGTTCCAGGACTGCCAGGGCTACACAGAGAGACCCTGTCTTGAAAAACCAAAGGAGGAGGAGGAGGAGGAGGAGGGAGAAAAAGAGAAGGGGGTGAAGAAAAGAAAAGAAGGGAAAGGAAAGGAAAGGAAAGGAAAGGAGGAAAGGAAAGGAAAGGAAGGGAAAGGAAAACACAAAAGGCAGGGAACTGGCTCAGTGGGTATCACTTGCCACAGCACAAGATGAAGACCTGAATGTAATATGCCGTGGCAAACAAGACACCCTCTCTCAAACAGATTGGAGATGAATTGACACTAGAGACTGACCTCTGACCTCCATGGATGACTGTGGCTCATATGAACACTCACATGAACACACACACACACACACACACACACACACACACACACACACACACCAGATAGTCCCTAGGTCCTTCCTCCACCAGGAATCCCATCTTTGAGATGGCTCTGCTGCAGTTGGCTTGGAAGATAAGTGCCCTTGGAAGAAGTATCCCCAAGGGGGCTGCCTGCATCACATGTGCTCACTAGCTCGATTCAAGGGCAGTAATGCAGTTTTCAGGAGCCTGACAGGGTTTTAATTGTATTTTCAGAGCCCTGCTCACACATACCAACTGAATTCATTGTTGCCTTCATGATGGCTTTCACCTTTCCCTCCCCTGTGCCCTTTGTGTCTGCAGCAGCTGAGGGTGGGGACAGGGCCGCCAGGACCAGAAACTTCATCCTTTTCCACAGAGGAGCCACATGGGATCTGGGACTTTCTTTATGTTGTGAAGTTTGCTTCATTTTGTAAGCAGTGGGCAAGAGGGGCTTCTTACCGTCAAGCTGTACACTTCCTGGTGTCTGGTGTCTGCTGTCTGCTGGAGAGAGGCAGGCCTGCTCTGGCATCACCGTCAGGCAGCACATGAAGGTCTTGCATTCACTCAGCAAACACTGTGCAAATGACAAATGTATAATGGACACTGGGGTGAGGGTTGGGGGGGGATGAAGTTAAAGCTGCATGCTCTGTCCTTAAAGTACAGAAAGAGTACTTAATTGTTTCAAATTTATGTGTGTGTGTGTGTGTGTGTGTGTGTGTGTGTGTGCGCGTGCGCGCGCGCGCGCATGCACCTGCACGAAGATGTCATTTCTCAAGCACCATCCACACACAGAGTCTCTCCTGGGACTCACCTTCCTTGTCTCTCTATGTCTGGGATGGCAAACACTTCCCACCATGCCCGCTTGTTTTACTGGGGGTTCTAGGAATCAAACTCAGGTCCTCATGCTTGCCAGGCAAACACTTCACGGGCTGCAATACCATTCCAGCCCTGTTTTGGTTTTGGTTTGGGTTGGGTTTTAGACAGGGGTCTTATTATATATCCCAGGCCAGCCTCAAACTCACTATGTACCTGAGAACGGCCTTGAACTTCTGATCCTCTACTTCTTGAGTGCTGGGGTGACAGATGTGCACCACTACACCTGGTTTTATTCGGTGCTGGGATCAAGCCCAGTCCTCTCTACTAAGTACTCTCTACACACTCAGTCATGTCCCCAGCTCAGATTCTGTTCTCTATTCTGTAGCCATGGGCTCAGGTCACAGTCTATTTGTTATATAATGCACCAATCATAAACCCTGCTTTTTGTTTGATGGATTGTTGAGAAATGGTTTCTCTGTGTAGCAATGGCTATCTTGGAATTCACTCTGTAGACCAGGCTGGCCTCAAATCCACAGAGCTCCACCTGCTTCTGCCTCCTAAGTGGTGGGATCAAAGGTGCACGCCACACCTGCCCAGCTTCATGGGGAGCACATCTTTAATCCTAGCACTCAGGAGACAGAGACAGGTGAATCTCAGTGAGTTCAAGGCCAGCATGGTAAATTTTGTGAGTTCCAGGACAGGCTGCAAAGTTACAGAGAAACGTCTCAAAAAGCCGTATGCATGTATGTATGTATTTCCATTCCCAGCACTGGGTGGATATGAGGTGGGGGAATATATAAACCACACACAAAGGTCTAGAATGATCTGAATGGCTAGCCCCTTCTATGGAATAACAGGTGATATTCACATTCTTCTCTTTCTGCCTTTTTTACTCTTTCCCTAATGAATATTTATCAAATTATTTCGAAGCATCATTGTTTAGGAGCTTCTCCGACTCATCCCATGACCAAACCTCAACCCTCTATCGGGGAATACCTTACACCAACCAAGACCTTCTTGTCCTCCCAACAAATTCCAGGACCCATCTACTGGAATGTGAAGTACCTAGGAGAATGTCAAATGAAGAGGTAGCCGAGCCCCCCATGTCCTGGCCAGTGTCAGCTTTATGAGGCTCTACGCCTTCAGACCCTCAGAACTTCCCAAACTCCTTAATCAGACCACCTGAAACTGTCTTTCAGCCCCCAAACAAAAGAGCGAGGTTGGCGATAGGGAAATCCCACCTCTGATGCCAGGGATAAGCAATCCCCTTACCTCTCCTAGATAAATCACCCCCACCCCCACCCCCTTGGAAGAAGTACCATAAAAATATGACCAACAAACACATTTGTCAAAGGGTGACATAATGGCAGGAAAATATATGATCAATTTAGCAGGCAGAGGTGGTTGTCAGCTTGGGGGCCCTCCAGAGTTCAGGCATGCCTATAAAAGAACTCACCAACCCAGTGACTCCCCTAGAGAAAGAGATCTCCTTCCAAATTTGCCTGTCACCTGACATCCAAGAGAAGGAATTCCCCCGGGGAAGGAGGAATCGGTTTATCCATGTCTGCAGGAGCCAAAGTTGGAGGGGGAGTGGGGGAGGGAGGCTTAGGGTTGGGCGAAGGCGTCTCCTCTAGTGATTTAGGGTTGGGATCTTCCATAAGAAAGTCCCTCTGTTGCCCTGGGGTCCTGGGACTGTCTACCCAGAGATGGGCAAGCTTAGGAAACTCAACTCCCAGGGTTGTGGTGGGAGGGAACAGGACAGGGCACAGTTGCTGCTGTCTGGTAGGAGCGAAAGCACAGGCCCCAGACATTCATGACCTCTGGTTCACTCGGCACTGCTGATCAAAAGGAGGCGGCTGGTCCACCCTGCCCAGGCCTCCTCGGGCCTGGAGGATTCAAAGCTACTGACTTCGTGGCTGGTGTGGCTTCCATTAACCCAGAGGTTGGTGCTGAGGACGCCACAAAAAGAAGTTGAACATCCCCTCGGAATGAATCATGGGAATACAATAGCTCCGGCCAGCACAGTGACCTTTAAAGCAAGATAATACTACTTTAAACGAACAGAGTGGGAGCCATTAAAATAAACAGCACCAGTTACAGCATCCTTCAGCTTCCAGAGACAGCGGCTCCATTTACTCCCTTCTCCTTCAACTCCAGGGAGACGGTAGTCTGTGGCGACTCTGGTTGTCCAGCTCCCCACCACATTGATCATTTCTCTTCATTTCTTCCTTCCTTTCCTTTTTCATTGGGACAGGGTCATGCTATGTAACTCAAGCTAGCCTCAAACTCAAAATCTTCCTACTTTAGCCTTCTGAGTGCAGGATTACAGGCCTGTGTGGCTGTAATAACTGGCTAAACACATTGCTTTCATTTATCTTAGCTAAACAGCCATAGTGACTGACTAGTCACTGGAGTAAGTGCCTTGCTATGGCTTCTGGGAGTGTTTTTTACCATGAAATTCTGAGATCCAAAGGACTATAGCATCAAACCAAATAAAAGCTCACTGCTAGGGACACAGAGAGATACTGGTGATCATCTCCAGAATCCTTTAGAACTTGGAAATATAACAATGAGCTAAAAGGAGAGAGAAAGAGAGAGAGAGAGTGTGTGTGTGTGTGTGTGTGTGTGGTGTGTGTGTGTGTGTGTATGTGTTATTGCCTATAAGATAATTTTTTTTTGAGACAGGGTTTCTCTCTATGAATCCCTGGCTATGTAAATCAGGCTATCCTCAAACTCAGATCCACCTGCCTCTACCTCCTGAGTACTGGGATTATAGATGTGCACCACCACAGCAAGCCATTTTCTTTGGAGACAAGGTCTGCCTATGTAGTCCAAGCTGGCCTGTAGCTCCGAGTCTGCCTGCTTCACCTCTGGAGGGCTGGGATGCACACACATAACCCTCATTGAAAGTCAATCACATACGTCCGTAGACACAGGGTCCTCGGAGACCCGGGCAGAATCCTCACTCTCAGATCTCAGATGACTCTCAGGCAGCCCTTGGGTTCAGCGAGAGGCCATTCTCCTCAGAAACACAAACCAGTTCCAGCCAGTACTACAAGAACACTCACCAGACAAGGGTATTGGTGCAGTCCTGATGCTAGCACGCTCACACATGCACGCACGCCTGCACGCACTAATTTTGTGCTCAGCTGTCATAAAACTTAAGACGTTTATATGAGGGTCAAAGATCAGGAGGGGGCAGCATTATTTTCTGTTATTAATTACACCTTATCCATTCTACACAGACTGCACTCGCCTTAGATAAAGTTACAATGCTGTTTTATTGGGAAGCCTCCAGGCTCTTATGCTGGGGGAGGAAGGGCGGGAATGGGACAGGAGACAAAGGAAATCATGGGATGGGGAAGGGCAGAGGGGGCTCATTTACACCCTGTCCCCCATCCCACACCGGCCCAGAAGTCCAGCTAGTCTCTTGCCCACTGGCAACACTCATTTCCCTAACAGAACTCACTCGAAAACACATGAACCTGAACTCTGTTTTTTTTTTGTTTTTGTTTTTGTTTTTTCGAGACAGGGTTTCTCTGTATTGTTTTGGAGGCTGTCCTGGAACTCACTCTGTAGACCAGGTTGGCCTCGAACTCACAGAGATCCGCCTGCCTCTGCCTCCCGAGTGCTGGGATTAAAGGCATGCGCCACCAACGCCCAACTGAACCTGAACTCTGAATCAAGTGGGTCCTGAGAGGTTTTGGGAGAGGAGAGAGCCAGTGGATAATGCCAACTTGTCTGATGCCGGCTTCAAAGGTGTGGGGAGGGGGGGAAAGTTCAAATCCAAATTGGGGTTGTCCCCACCCTATTCTACCCACAGTGCAAAGGACAATTGCCTGAGGATCAGGGGGTTCTTCGGTGGCCCTGGAACTCTGGGTGGGGGTGGGGGTGGAAACAGAGGCAGAGGAAGGTTAGGGGATTTGTTTTGCCTGCCTATCTGGAGTGCTAGGGATGCGACCCACCTACACTAAGCAGCCCATCTTCCTCTGTACTGTGACTCTCTTGTAGTTTTCATTCCTTTTCACGTCTCTTGTTTTTGAGAGTCTCTAAGTTGCCCAGAGTGGCCTGGAACTCACAATCCTCCTGCCTCATCCTCCTGAGAAGCTGCAATTATAGGCCTTCATCTCCAGGTGCAGACACAGGAGGGATCCTTGATTCTTTTACCCTTAGCTGACAAGGAGACAGAAGTGGATTCATCCATCACGGAAGAAAGAAACCTAAGACCCCTCCACCCCCAATACCCAGCCCATGGGGAGTTACAGACTGGCAGAGTGGAAAAGGAGACGCTTCACATTAGACTAAGGATCTGAGGTGGGTGGTGATGGGAATACTGGACTAGAAAACATAGCTTGGATTCTTTTGTTGTTGCTGGTTGTTTTAAACATTTAGTGTGTGTGTGTGTGTTTCATTGTTTCATGGCATGTGGGGATGTCAAAGGACAACTTTCAGGAATGTGTTTTCTCCTTCTACCATATGTGTCCTGGGGAATCAAACTCAGGTCATCAGGCTTGGCCACAAACACCCTTACCCACTGAGCCATCTCACCAACTCCCAGATGTGCGTCTTGGCTCCAACTTTTTCCTTGGGCAAACCACTAGCTTTCTCCAAGACTCTGCTTTCCCAGTTTGGACATGAAGGGAAATGGCATCCAATAGCGTGAAGAATGGTATCATCTCAAATAACCACAGGACGTTAACATACCCGAGACAAACAATAAGGCTGCTACACCCTTCCTGCGGTACTGTAAGATAGCGT